CCTTTTCATGATTTTCACCATGAAAATCAAGTAGTCGCCAATTTTCACTACGATATCCGTAATCAGCACGTCAAAATACGTAGGAATACTGAGTTTCGAAAAAAATCCGGGGTATGTACTTTCTGGAACTACACCTAATTTTTATGATTATAAAAATTAAATACAGCCGTATTTCAATATTAAAGGTATTTATTTTCAGCAATGACAAAAGAATATTGCCTAATATTTCTATAACTTTGAAAGTACCTATATTTAATTCTTTGCGATAAATTAAATTAAATTAAACGACTCCATCATACGTGCAAATTGAAACATGTTCTTCCTTTCGCAGCACACATAAGATTGGTAAATATTCATACTTCAAAGCATTATATTTTATATGAATAAAACATGATTACGAAATAAAATATTCTGTTACAGAATTCGTTACGTTACATTATCCACGACAACAGATTACACGATATAAATAATGTAACTACATTTTATAAAATTTTATAAAATCGTTCTAATTCGACAAATTTCGAAGCTATTTACAGAACTTTTCAAGTCACATAATCCATTTCTTCATCATCTTTACAAATTACAAATGAATCACGTACATTTATTAACTCGTGAATTCAAATTTTATTTGCAATTTGATACCATTTCAACGGAATTTGACCTGTTGCTGTTAGTCTATGATTGTTAGGCTTTCAGATTTGTACGTAAACAACTATTACTGTCTATTATGTTTGGAAGGAAAACACATTCCTATATACCGGCACTGTCTCGTTGCGGTTACCAATCTTGTGTGTGCTGCGAAAGGAAGAACATCCCGTTCTGGCAAGTTGGTAAAATAATTAGAATTTAAACAATCTCTCTGCAATTGCAATCATCTCACGGCGTATTTTTGCATGGTAAGTATAGACTACATTATACATGTACATATCTTCACGTACATCCATGCATGATGTTCAAACGCATAACTAATATTCCTTTCACCGCATTAAAATATGTTGCTGAGACACGTAAAATGTTAGGAGAAGTAAATGTCGTGTCAAGTCATCAGTATTGCCCTATCATTAAAATACATTTTATTTTGTGCAGTTTACGTGTCACGTACTTTTACCAACACAGTGTAAATTGATATTATATTATGTAACTTCTCTCTTATACTTCTCTCTCTCTCTCTCTCTCTCTCTCTCTCTCCCCCCCTCACTCACTCACTCACTCACTCACTCACTCACACACACGCACACTCACTCATTCAATATTATTATATCACCAACAGCTCATTTATTTGGAAGATTTAAGAAATTTTGTTATAAAAGTAAAATAATTATAGCTTTAATTAATGGTTAAAGAGTTAAAATATATCGAACGCATTAATTGACATGCGTACTCATATGTTCTAATTTTATATACCATACAACTTGCCACTTATGGAATAGGGGAAAACTAGAGAGGAAAATAAAGGATCGAGAAGTAGGATTGATAGTTCTTCTTTTGTCAAGAAGAAAGTTATAATCGCGTGTATCATATACACACATAAGTTTTCACATGATTATTGTCAAGAATATACGAACAGTTTATAAGTCATAAACATTTGATAATTTTCGTACGTTCCGCAACTTGCGAATCTAAATTTTTTAACAATATCAAATGATTTTTATTCTTCAAAGAATAAATTTAAACGTAGATAAAATATCGCAGAGAAAAATAATTGCATTTAATAAATCATAGTTTTCTTCAATCGTTCGTTTTCCTTTCCGCGCGTTGTTGCATGTTATTTCACACATTTAAGTATATATGTATTTATGCATTAAATTTATAAATATATTTAAAAAAAATTAGCATCCAATTTATATCTTATTGTAAAATTGTGCGATAAATTCGTGTAAGGAATATCGAAATATGAAGAATTTAAATATAATAATATTAAAGAAGTAATATTTTTACAAATTTCCAACTCGTAACAATTCTCTCTTTACACACACAATTCTTTTATTCGCGTTTCTTACTTCAGACGTTTATAAATCGTTTCGAGCAAATAATAAAATCGCTCTATTTTGATTTTCTATCTTATTCTTCTATTTTTCTCACCTATCCAAAAAATCCATTTAATTGCTCCGGTGAAATCGAGTGCCGTAAGTATAACGACGTGCATAACATTCGAGAATGAAAGAGAGGAAAATTGAAGAGTCATTAAAATCCCCTCTTCGAGCAGTCAATGTCACTTTCACCACCTCGTGTTCCGCTACTGATGAACATAAGACGACCAAAATCCAAACAAATAAAAGATCCACGATTACTCTGCATATAATAATTATCTAGTTATTTACCTTAGGTCCGGTTTCACCCACAATGTTTAGCTTTAAGCTTAGCTAAAGTTCGTTTTTTGCCTCTTGTCCACTGTTACTTTAGAAAGAGACAAACGTGAATTAAACCAAGATCACAGTTAAGCGACGTTTGGTGAAACTAGGCCTGAGTCAAGAAACATCATCATTAAATTATTTTCCGAAGTAACACTAAGATAACTCGTCTTCGCAAGATAGTAAATTTTTGCAGAAAGATACTATTTCCTGGGAGATCCGTATGAGTCATGTTTGAAAATCAATTCCTATTTGAAAATAAATTTGAAATTTGCTGAGGGTTAGTTTCCACCATCGGCTAATACAGAAACATCCGTTCCACGTCGCATCGCATACCCATCGCTAATTCTCTCTCTCTCTCTCTCCGAGCTATTCACCCTCCACGACTGTCCCTGCCTCTCTCCTCGGCGTTCTCCTCACCACGGACCCTCTTGCTTCCTCCGATCCACCAGGTAAGCGACATGGGTGGAGGAGTGTGAGGCGTGCATCGTGGATGCTGGAGGGATTTCGTAGGTGGCTGCCGCGGCTTCTCAACTCGCTGGCGTGGGGGATAACTGGAGCTTCGGCTTAAGTCAACTGTATCGCGTCAAGATGAAGTAGTATACACACTGTCTCGTTGCGGAGTGCATGCGTCGGGCACGCGAAAATCATCGCGCGGATATTACCGTGCAAAGAGAACCGGAAATCGCCGGTGGCAAGATCACGCGGAGGACTTGTGCTGTTCGTTTCCAAAATTCTTGCTCATTAATGCATTAAGGCAGAAGATATGAGACTCTACGCTGTGAGTTAAATCGGTCCTTATGTTTCGTCCTTTTGTAGAGTGCTTTAATCAAGTTTAAATGGGAGTCAAATTTAAATTTATGTTTAAATTTTTCGATTGAAAATTTTCTTGTTTAACATTTAACATTTTAACATTACGTATTTGCATTTTTTAACTCGATTCTGAATTCTGGATAAGCATAAAAAGTTAATCAACGCTAAATTAATATACGTAAATAAATGAACGTAAAATAAAGATACTAGTTAAGTGTAAAGTAAAAATCGCTCTTTATATCAAACGCTAATACAAAATTAAATTTAGAAGTGTAATATAAATAATTTTATCTTAACTCTATTATATCAATTACAAGCTAATTAAAAGTGAGTGTTGACAGAGCAATTTAAAACTCTCCCTATCTCAATTAATTATATATTGTACTACTCTCTACACATGTACTTGTTTACCTTAGACTAATTTGATGTTAATTATAATTTTTAAAGTCAGTAAATAATCATTATGCATGATTTTTATTAAAGAAAACCAAGAGAAAAATTATATTAAACTTATTATTAACAGTTTATTAATTTTTCTTCTCTTTTACGATCTTATCATTTTATTTGTTACATTATATACAGATTTGCATGTAAGAAACCATAAGATAAAAGTTGTTTTCCAAAAAGTACATTGTGTTATATTGTATTTTTATAAATCTATAACGTTTAGGTATTTCTAAAATGTCGATAACGATGTCATTTTTCTTTCACGCGCGGATTATGATTATTCTCCTTACAGGTTGCTCTTATAGCATGGGCGGCACTTATAACTGCATCTTCGGAACATAACACCGCAAATTTGAACGATGAGAAGGTAAATTCGACAAACAATATTACATTAGAATGTAGAAAATTGTGAGACTCGGCGGTAAATTTTTCTGAGAAAATTATAAAAATACAGCGCTTTATTATTTATTTGTAATAAATTATATTTCTACGGTGCAATTTTAAAAGGTACAATTACGACTTTTTGTTTTTAATTAATTTAAACAGTAAAAAATGTTAAGCCTTAAAAAAATGCGAGAAAAATAAGTACACGTACTATATAAATTTATTTAAAATAAAAATTTAGAACGTTTTAATGTAGAACCACAAGAAAGTGATATCTTACAAATAGTCAAAAAACCACACGACCAAAAATACTCGCAATTCAATCTAGATCGACGGTTCCAATACGTGGTAGAGAAAGTTTGAAGATGATTGAAACGTGTGTCCCTCGTTAAAAAAGTTTCTTCTTTTACTTCCGACAGCTATAGCCGTAGGGGCCACCTGGCTATAAGGATAAAGTCCTAGAGTTTAGGCGAATAGAGTACTTACAAAGATCCTTAACCTTGGGGCATAGAAATCTTTAACCTCGATCTACTTGCAGCGCGTCATTCAAGTGCTACTTTACGTATAGGCGCGACGAGCCGAGATGAATTACAGCTGGGAGCTAGCATAGACTGAGTGAATGTCGTGGTTTCGAGGAATAGAGAGAGAAAGAGAACATTTTCACTTGCGGCGCGTTGTACCACACACGAAATAGTTCATTGCCTGCGGTTCCCACCTTTTCTAAAATGTCTTGCGCGAAGCGCCGGCTTTTCCACTGAAAAACGCGAACAATTAATTGTTCCTCACATCTTTCACATCACTGCGTACAACGATAAGATCTATCGATCAAATTCGCGAATAATTTAAAATAAAAATTGAATACATCGCATAAATGGATAAGTAGTATAAATGCAGCAGCTTATTTAACTACTGTATAAAATTAAGCGAGTTTACGCCAATGATCTCGGTATTTTGAAATTTAATTATTGCAGAGAAAATGGTTGTCAAGAAAGTCGAATACTTTCGCGTACATCTTTATTTGCATATCCTGGAAATTTTCGTGTCAGAATGTACTTTGGTTTACTTGCCAAGAAATCTCTAATAGAACATAAAATTGCTTATCCAAAAAGTATTTTACGGATGTGATACCAGTATCATTTTAAAGAAGAGATTAAGAATAGAAGCATTAATTTGATATCTTTTACGTTATCCGGGATACCATGGTATATGATAAAGACGACACTCGCATAATTTCAAAATTAATATAAAAATTTGTAGAAAATTATATATAAAAAAAAGAATGAGAGTTGCGAACTTTATAAAAGCATTGTAAAATTGAAAACTACTTTTGTACGTATAATTTATAATAATCTACAGAAGGAAAACTTCTCTCTATCATTTTGTTTCTATTTACTTTTATAAAAATTAAAACCGATAATGCGTATGTGCATATAAGAGATTAGTATATAGTGTAAATATATTATTCCGAGATAAATATATTATTTTTAATTCAACAGTTTTAATTGGCCGATTGAAAGTGAACGTTTTCTTGCAGCAAAGTTGAAACGTCCCCAGATTTCTTTATACTCTCACGCGAAATAAAAAACACACTTTAAGCCATTTAAGGATAAACGGTGAAAATTTCGCGTCGTGCGGACGCGAGTCGCGTCAGCGGGTGGGTTAATCGCAGTGGTTTAGTTCGAGTGCATTCCGGGTGAAATTGATGCAATTGCTATTATACAAATACCGTGGCTGAATTAAAAGGTGCGCCGGCGGAACGTTGTCAGGGACAAGGTAAAATGCGACAACGGGCACGAAGAGCCTGCATTTTCTTCGCGTTAAAAGGAAACTTGCCAGTGAAAGTGGCCACACGCGGACGTAAATTCGTCCACCGGCGATTGCCGTTATTCCAACGAAATGCACCATCGCGCACCATCGTGTGTTACACAATGTCACGCAACGTAGGGAAACGAATCGATCGACGTTTGTCAAGTGTACGATTGATAGCTGCGGTTGAAATTTTCCGGTCGGGAAGCTGAGAAAATTGTATCTCGATCGACCGTTTCAAGTTCTTCTAAAAATCCGTTGAATTAATATCGCGTCGTGCTAATCTTGTCAATTTTACCCTTTCGATTCATTCAGCGACTTTGCGTGACAATAAAGAAAATAAAAGAGAAGATCATGCGCACATTTAAGATGAATATTCTCTAAGTAGTATTTTGATTGAATTGATAAAATATGCGGATTATTTGTGAAATATTTGTTTTCATATGACAGAGGAATATGCGGAAAAATATACGGAGAAAGTTTTCGCACAGTGTGCACATATATAAATCACACACCAAACTGGAAAGATAAGACTCGTTCTTGATACAGCAGGCTATGGCCTGTCGAGTTGCCACAAAGTTGTGTTTATTTCTTATTCATGCATTTGCCCCACAAAAGCCTGCACTGCTCGTTATTATTATTTTAATGCACCACTTCTCTCCATATCCGTGTCGGATAAGCCAAACGATAGTCAATTACGTCTTGATTTATTCGTAATATTTACGCATCCATGCAGCATCATAGATCCGTAACGCATGCAAAAAGTTCCTAACGCTTCTGGCTCACTTGGAATGTTCAAACTGGGTCAATGGCAAAATAAAATGTGGAAGCAATTTAAATGTCCCCAAAGCCAGACACACACACACACACGTATAAGTCTGGAAAAGTGTAATATAATTTTCTCTGAATATATAATAATATTTCTCTTAGCAAAAGTGTATATACTATAAAATCGACTTACTATTTGTAAAAAATAATTTATTCACTAAAAGTTGAAGAATTTTGCCAAATTAAGCTTTAAGAATTTAATAATTGAACAAATTTTATAAATTAAACTCAAGCGGATCTTGATTTATATTTGACTGACGATTATAAAATTAATTACTCGGTGACTTAAATTAATTATGCGAAATTTGCAACGTTGAGGAATGTAAAAATTATAATTGGGG